GTGAGTTATAAAGCTGTTTATTTGTCTCATTAATGGGAAGAATCCAAACATGCTTCTGGTCAAACCAACTTTCTAACCTCAGCACCAGAAAGCCTCTCTGATGTCAAGATTCCAGACATCGGCCTGTGAGAGAGAATCCAGTGATTTCCCTGAATGATGGCGCTGAGCGCAGAGATCCTGGCCTTCTGCTGCTGATTCCTCCATCTGGATCAATCACAAACTCTCAAATCAGAATCTGTCATTGTCTGACAGCTGAAAAGCTAAAGAAGCATACCTGAATAAAAGGCGGCCTGCCTAGAGGTGAAAGCATGGGCGGAGCTAGATGGGCAGCCAGGGGTTACCATGGCCACCCTTGCCATTTTTTTTCTCCCTCTAATACAGACGGTGGCATCAGTAATACTCTCAAGGGGAATACTAAAAATATTTAAAATTTTTCATATAATAAGAATTACTTGACAACTAAAACGCTGTGGTTAATTAAATACTAACCTTAAATTCATAGGAAAATTATATTTAAATTTCAAATCATTATGGCTTAAACATGTATATAAATCTGCTCTTTATCAGACGATATTGTCCCAAACTGTAGAAAATTTCTTTTTTTCTCGTTATCTTCTGCAGGCCAGTTAGTTCTACGTCAGCCTGAACACCTAAATTTCGCCAATCATATATCAACGGTCATCTGTCAATCAAATGTTTTCGGTCATAGGATCGTGATTCATATGTCGCAGCTAATATACACAACGGTTGAAATCAGAATCCTTTCCTTTCCCATTGAGTTGCGTCCCAGTGTTCACGGGGATGGACGTCTGTGTCTTCAGCAGGCGTAGAGCTAACAGAACTGGCAGCGTTGCAAGGCAAGGGCTCAAACATGTACGGCTGGAAGCCTTCTACACCAAACCAAGCTTCTGCCGCCCTGGAGTCATCTTCCACAACATCTTCGTCCCCGCTTTCCTCCTCTAAATAAAAAATGGATGACGGAGGAGACTCATCCACGACCTCCGACACTAAACTCTCCTCCTCTTGCATGTTTCCTCTGTCCATAGCGTTCCTTGACAGCGTCGTTTCTAAGTCACCAATTTAGTACTACTTGGTCCCAATGGAATTTCCCATTTGGAACCTACTAGCACTAAGATGCTTACTGGTTAGCAAGATGCTTCCCACAAACCGGCCACAACCAAACTTGCTTACAAAGCTCCCGCCACAACAATCCCGCCCCCTTGACAATCGACCAATCACATTCCCTTTATTCACTCTTGTAAAGTCAGGCACCACTCGGGAGAATTTGGAAATGCAATGTTTGGAACAGCCACTTTCCTACGACTTTAAAGATGATAAATACAAAATTCATGTTCTTTTCAGTACTAAATTTTGTGTTATATGGAGTAACAAAATGATTTCTTTGCAAGTTAAGTTCAGTGAAATCATAGATTAATAACTACTTTAATAACAACCTTAAAAGCCATTTAATATAGATATTAATACATATAAATATAAATTTTATTCAGAAAAAAATTTTGTCCACTATACCTTTAATTTAGAGAGCATGGATGTTTAGATATATACGTCTATTTGTTAGTAAAAGCTGTAGGAAAGTATAGGTTGTGGTGTAATGCTATGTGACGCCTTTTATTTTGAAAAGCAATAGAATATAGAGGGGATTTCCGGTCCCTCACGGCAGTCGGTATTAAGTTAAGGGTATGAGAGACAGAAGTGGTAGCTCTGTGTGATACATACCTGTTAATAAAAGATCAGCGTGACATGGTGTCAGGAGTGGGCAACGATTCATGATTGGAGAAAGATGAAGAAGATGGCTAAGAGGAGAAATCGTGCATCAGGTGGATCAAAAGAAAGCTTTGCAAGTAGCTCTGGTGAAGAAACGAGAGACAAGCAGGCAGAAATGGGCGACCCACGCCAAGTGCAACGTTCACTATACAACCTCCGGAGCTATTTGATTTCACCAAGCCACAAGAATGGGAACGGTGGATTAGGAGATTTGACCGCTTTCGGCTTGCAAGTAACCTTAACGCAACGCTAGAGGAAAACCAGGTGAACACGCTGGTGTATTGCATGGGCGATGAAGCCGAAGATGTGCTAAAGGGGCTACTGCTAACTACAGATGCTAGGAAAAACTACGCAGACGTGAAAGCAAGCTTTGATGCATTTTTTGTACCTATAAAGAATGTCATCTATGAGAGAGCCAGTTTAATCTGCGTGTGCAATTGCCGGGAGAAATGGTGGATTCCTTCATCACTGCTCTATACAACTTAGCCAAACATTGTAATTATGGACAGTTACATGATGAGCTGATTCGTAACAGGCTGGTAGTTGGAATGAGAAACGTCTCCTTGTCCGAATAATTACAGCTAGACAAAAACCTCACGCTCCAAACTGCCATAGAAAAGATGAGGCTAGCGGAAGAAATCAGACGACCGCAGTCGGACCTGAGAGGAGAAAATAGTGAATGCTCCAATGTCGATGCTTTGCTACAACTGCTAGGTACAGAAAAGCGAAGTTTCCGTCCAAGCTGTCACAAGCACAGCTTCCAGGCAGATACAAACCAGCACAAGCGCAGCAAAGTACAAGGGCCTGCTATAGATGTGGGAAAATGCCGGTACGTAGAAAAGCAGAATGCCCTGCTACGGATGCTGTGTGTCATCACTGTGGAAAGAAAGGACATTACAGTTATGTATGTAGGAACAGTGCAACTTCTCTGAATGCTGTTACAGTAGATGAAGGGGAAAGTTTTTTCCTTGGTGCTGGGGATGCTGGAAAGATCCAGGGAAAGTGCAACTACAAGTCTGAGATAAAAAAGTGCGCTTTAAGATAGACACAGGTGCTGATGTCACTGCCCTGCCAGTCGAGGTGTACCATGACATTGCTGGTGGGCTAGATGTGATGCAACTGGAGACGTCAAAGTGCCCACTGTTTGGACCTGGTGACAATATACTCAATGACCTGGGTGTAGCTAGAGAAACACTGCAGAGAGGCAAAAAGACGTTGGAAGAGGACATTTCAAGATTAAAGATCAAAGATCTGCACACTGCCCTGCCATCCAACAGCTCCAACTTGTAAGCAGGGTCGACAGCATCACCATGGATACGGTGAAACGACAGTATCCAAAGCTGTGCAGCGGGCTGGGTCTTGTGCGGAGTCCATATGCACTTAGACTAAAACCAGGCACAGTGCCCTTTTATAAATAAATTAGATGCCAATATGGGCTTTTGGCAGGTACCATTGACAAAAGAGTCTGCCAAATACACCACCTTCATCACACCTTTTGGGCGCTACTACTTTAACCGGCTACCCTTTGGCATAGCTTCGGCCCCAGAGCATTTCCAGAGGATGATGATGATGGATGTGACTGCAGGCCTAGACGGGGTACTGTGTCATATGGATGATGTGCTTGTATGGGTACGGACACGGGAAGAGCATGACAGGAGACTACATGCAGTGCTTCAGAAAGCACAAGAGGCTGGCATTACACTCAACATGGACAAATGTGCGCTCAAACGCCACACAGTCAAATTCCTGGGTCATGTGATCTCCGCAAATGGCGTGAAGCTAGATTCAGAGTAGAAGATGTCAGCGAACTCCGGAGTTTCCTGGGTATGGTCAATCAGCTGGGGCGCTTCATACCTCACCTGGCTGAAAAGCACAAAGTTCTACGACACTTGCTGTCCAAGAAAAAGCACTGACACTGGGGTAAGGAACAACAGGCCGTCTTCGATCAACTAAAAGCTGAATTGTCAACCCCACGAGTGCTCACATTATATAACCCAAACATTGCAGTGAAAATATCAGCCAATGCCTCTTCTTTCGGCCTAGGTGTGGTCCTGCTGCAGCAGAACGTTACAGGTGATCACCTATGGCATATGCATCACGGTCCATGACACTGACGGAGCAACGCTACGCCCAAATAGAGGAGGCATGGGCAGCAACGTGGGCTTGTAAAAGGTTCAGCTGTTTCATCCTGGGAAGACAATTTAAACTTGAAACCGACCACAAGCCGTTGGTGAGTCTGCTGGGAGGCAAAGCATTGGATGAGCTCCCACCCAGGATCCAAAGATTCCGGATGCGGCTTCTGAGGTACGACTACATAGTCAAAAATGTCCCTGGCAAAAGCCTATGGACAGCAGACACCTTATCTCGCGCTCCTCTGAGATCCAATCAAACACACACAGACACAAGCATGCTAGCGAACACTGACATATATGTTGACTCTGTCATCAGCAACCTTCCTGTCAGTGGGGACTATCTGGCCAGCCTGTGAGAGCACCTGAAAGGAGACAGCACTTGCTCCACCCTGATTAAGTACTGCACAGATGGCTGGCCTGACAAAAGTCAACTACAAGGAGAGCTGAAACACTTCTGGACTGACAGGGGAGTACTGACTGTACACGATGGTCTACTGCTACAGGGAACAAGGCTTGTCATCCCATCAGCACTGCAAGGGGATGTGCTGCAAATACTACACGAGGGACACCTGGGGGTAACAAAATGCAGAGGGCGGGCCAAGGAGACAGTGTGGTGGCCAGGACTCAGCAGCCAGTTGAACAAATGGTGCTAAAATGCAAACTTGCATTGAAGAGTGACAGAACATCAAAGAGCCGCTGAAGCCAACAGTGATGCCCATGAGGCCCTGGCAAACCTTGGGAGCTGATCTGTTCACACTGAGGGGCACGACTTACCTGATAGTTGTGGACTATTTCTCAAGGTATGTAGAAATTGCACTACTGTGTCCCACAAAATCCACAGAGGTGGTGCTGCAGTTAAAATCCATGTTCGGCCGCCATGGCATTTGCCATTACAATGGGCCCCAGTTCTCAGGTAGTTTCTTTAGAGATGTTGCAGCCAAGTATGGCTTTGTGCACATCACAAGCAGCCCCAAGATTCCTCAGAGTAATGGGGAGGCCGAACAAGCTGTACAAACTGTGTCAGACCCATACCTCGCCTTACTGGTCTACAGAGCAACCCCCTGCAGAACGGATATAGCCCAG